GGGAGGGGGTGTAGGGGCTGGAGGAGATGACGGACATAGACAGGGGTGTAGAGCCTGCATTACCTCCATATTCTCATCCCTCTGATTGACGAGGTCCTTAAGATGCTGGGCCATGTTTCCGAAGAGGAGGTGCAGTTCCTCCAGCGAGCTGGAGGAGAGGTCTGTGCAGTGAACTGCCACCATGTTCTGCTGGTTCTGGGTTATCTGAAAGTGAATTGGAATGTGTGAGCCAATTAGAATCATCAAACAGCTGCCACTCTGCCTATCATATCGCAGTGGGCCCTCGACTGGACTGTCTCCTCCAGTCCCACCCCGCACTGATCCTGCAAACACAGGAAGATGGATGTGGTTGTTGGACGTCAGCTCCAGGACATCTCTGCAGGAGTTCCTCAGGGTAGTGTCCTAGGCCCAACCATCTTCAGCTCCTTCATTAATGACCTTCCCTCCATCATAAGGTCAGAAGTGGGGACGTTCGCTGATGATTGAACAATGTCCAGCACCATTCACAACTCCTCAGATACTGAAGCAGTCCATGTTCAAATACAACAAGATCTGGACAATATCCAGGCTTGGGCTGACAAGTGGCAAGTGACATTCGCGCCACACAAATGCCAGGCTATGCCCATCACCAATAAGAGACAATCTAACCACTGCCCCTTGACATTCAATGGTGTTACCATCACTGAATCCCCCACTATCAACATCCTGGGGGTTATCATTGACCAGAAACTCAACTGGACTCACTACATGAACACAGGGGCCACAAGAGCAGATCAGAAGCTGGGAATCCTGCAGCGAGTATCTCCCCTCCTGACTCCTCCCCAAAGCCTGTCCCACCATCTCCAAGGCACAAGTCAGGAGTGTGAGGGAATACTCCCCACTTGCCCCTGGATGGGGGCAGCTCCAACAACACTCAAGAAGCTCGACACTATCCAGGACAAAGCAACCACCCCCTTGATTAGCACCACATCCACAAACATCCCACTCCCTCCACCCACCGATGCTCAGTCGCAGCAGTGTGTACCATCTACAAGATGCGCTGCAGAAACTCACCAAAGATCCTCACTCAGCACCTTCCAAACCCACGACCACTTCCATCTAGAAGGACGAGGGGCAGCAGATACATGGGAACACCACCCCCCTGCACATTCCCCTCCAAGCCACTCCCCATCCTGACTGGGAAATACATCACCGTTCCTTCAGTGTCGCTGGGTCAAAATCCTGGAGTTCCCTCCTTCAGGGGCATTGTGGGTCAACCCACAGCAGGTGCACTGCAGCGGTTCAAGAAGGCAGCTCATCACCGCCTTCTCAAGGGGGCAATTAGGGATGTGGCAATAAATTTTGGCTCGCATCCCATGAGTGGATGAAAAAAAAATTTACTGAAGAAATGATCCAATTCTCATTTGGAAGCTTCGGTCGACCCAGCTTGCAACACGCTCTGAGGCGATGGGTTTGTTCCCAAGTAAAGCCCCATGCCCCAGATCTCCCACTGAGGACAAATACCTTGTGACGCTTCAGCCCCGCTCACCTCCTGGATATGGTTGGCCACTGACGCCTGTGTGTCCAAGTCCAGCATCTGGATTCGTCCAATAAATTCTTCCTTGTCCTCGCACTGCAACAGAGACCAAGAGGTTTCAGAAGAGAGAATGGAGTCTGTCTGTGTGTTACCCCCACTCCTCACACCACGGCTTTATCTGCCCCCCTCCCCTCCTCACTGCCCCCCAACCTTGACACTCAGAGGGTCCTACCGAAACCAGCACTCGGGAGTAGGCCCCTTCTAAAGCACAGACGCCCCAACTGGAAATAGTCCAACGTTGAGAGGATTATCTGGACCCACACTGTTATATCCTGAACCTTCCCCCAAAGGTTTGGCTTCGGATATGGGAAGGCACAGCGACTATGAGCAGGGAGCTCAGTCTGCACGTTACTCGATCTGGTGGACTATCAGGGAGGGGGGCACTTGGCCCAGTTTGTGGGCAGTAGTTGGGGGGGATATAAGATTATTGCATTTTTGAACTCGGTCGGAGATAGAATTTGCGACATGTCCCTCAGAGGCAACAACAGCCTGTTCCTCCCTCAGCCTTTCTTTGCAAATCTTCTCAGCAAAAAAAGAGCTGAAAACCCACCAGCAGGCATCGTCAGCACTGAGGGGGGATTCATTGGAACCTACTCCACCATCAGAAGCAAAAGGAATTCAGGCAAGTGCAACAATTTCAGGAGGAAAGCCCAGTGCCAGCAGTTTGTGTGGATGTGTCTGTGTTTGCATGTGTGTTTATGCGTGTGTGCATTTATGTCTGTGCATGTATGTCCATGTGTCTGTGTGTGCATGTGTTTGTGTGTGCGTTTGTGTGTGTGTGTGTGTGTGTCTGCATTTGTGTCTGTGTGTGCATGTGTATGTGCTTGTGTATGTGCTTGTGTGTGCATCTGTGTGCGTGCCTGTGCGTGTGTGTGCATGTGTGTGTGTCTGTGTGTGCATGTGTGTGTTTATGTATGTGTCTGTGTGTGAGTTTGTATGTGTGTGTGCGCATGTGTGTACGTGTGTCTGTGTGCATGTGTCTGTGTGTGTGTGTGCGAGTCTGTGTGCATGTGTCTGTGTGTCTGTGTGTGCATTTTGTGTCCATGTGTGTGTGTGCGTTTGTGCCTGTGTGTGCGTGTGTCTGTGTATGTGTGTGTGTGCATTTCTGACTGTGTGCACGTGTGTCTGTGTGTATGTGCATTTGTGTGTGTGTGTCTGTGTGTGTGTGTGCGCATGTGTCTGTATATGTGTATGTGCCTGTGTGTGTGTGCGTGTGTCTGTATGTGTGTATGTGTGTCTGTATGTGTGCGTTTGTGTCTGTATGTGTGTGAGAGAGAGTGTGTGTCTGCGTGTGTGCGCATTTGTGCCTGAGTGTGTGTGTCTGTGTGCACGCGCACATGTGTTTGTGTCTGTGTGCGTGTGTCTCTGTATATGCCTGTGTCTGGGTCTGCGTGTCTGAGAGTTTGCGTGTGCATGTGTGTCTGTGTGCGCGTGCCTGTGTGTGTGTGTGCGCATGTGTGTGTGTCTGTGGTTAGTGTTTTTTGTAAAACCTTACAGTTGCACAATCCAACTGCTTCCACAGGATACAGGGTAGGGCATTTCGTACTGAGATCCGGAGAAATCTCTTCACCCAGAGAGTGGGGAGCCTGTAGGATTCTCTGCCACAGAAAGCGGTCAGGACTGAAACATTGAATGTTTTCAAGAAGGAGTTAGATACAGTTCTTTGGAAGGGATGAACGAATGTGGGATAGAAAGCAGGAACAGGGGACTGAGTTGAAGGATCAGCCACGATCATACTGAATGGCCTGCTCTTGCTCCTATTTTGCAAGTTTGTGAATAATTTTTTTCCGACCTGTGCGAGTTTATTTTTGACACTTAACTGAGAAGGAGGGTCACAGTTCATTGGTGTGAGGCCAGACCTGGGAGGAGAAGCTGTTGGGAACATTTTCAGACGGCATGTTTATTGGGCTGTGCAGATTCCTGTAGGTTTCTTGTACAGCGTGTGAGGCTGTCTCGAAAGGTTTCATTGCAGAATGGGAACCGAAACACACACACACACGCTCTGCTTTATTGAACATCAGGAGGAGGACACAAGCTGTTTGTAAAACTCTGTTCATAAGACACGTGGGGACTGGGGGAGGGAGCTGTGAGAGGCCAACTAACAATAGAGAGACAGCATGAGGAACTAGCTTTACTGCGATACAACCAGCACTGAGATTATATACTCAAAGGTATTACCCTTACTAAATTCCCCAGTATCAGCATCGTGGGGATTACCATTGACCAGAAACTCGCCACATTAACACAGAGGCTACAAGAGCAGGCCAGAGGCTGGGAATCGTCCCAGTGACCTCCTGACTCCTCCCAAAGCCTGCCCACCAACTACAAGGCACAAGTCAGGAGTGTGAGGGAATACTCCCCACTTGCTCCTGGATGGGGGCAGCCCCAACAACACTCAAGAAGCTCGACACCATCCAGGACAAAGCAGCACCCCCTTGATTGGCACCACATCCACAAACATCCCACTCCCTCCACCCACTCAGTCGCAGCAGTGTGTACCATCTACAAGATGCGCTGCAGAAATTCACCAAAGATCCTCAGGCAGCACCTTCCAAACCCACGACCCACTTCCATCTAGAAGGACAAGGGGCAGCAAATACATGGGAACACCACCCCCCTGCACGTTCCCCTCCGAGCCACTCCCCATCCTGACTGGGAAATAGATTGCCGTTTCTTCGCTGTCGCTGGGTCAAAATCCTGGAATTCCCTCCCTAAGGGGCATTGTGGGTCAACCCACAGCAGGTGGACTGCAGCTGTTCAAGAAGGCAGCTCCCCATCACCTTCTAAGGGACAACTAAGGACGGGACAATAAATGCTGGGCCCATCCAGAGATGCCTATGTCCCACAAATGAATAAAAAAAACAACCATCAGGATAGACTGAGCAGGGAGGGGTCTTTTCCCTGGAAAATGAGGAAGTTGAAGGAGTGAGTTTAGGAAGTAGTACGCCGTTCAGTAAGATCCTGGCTGATATCCTTACTCGCTATCCCCCAGCAACTTGTCCCCTGAGTTTTGCTGATCACAAATCCTGCCATCTTGCCCCTTGAAAGAAAATCCCTGATGGTGTTTTCTTTAAGAGGGGGATCGATGGAGAGTCGATCTCCTCACGAGGTTGGGGGAGCAAGACCAGAGTCAAGGGGGCCATCAATACGGGATAGTCTGGAATAAATTCCATCAGGAGAACCGCCCGTCTTGGCGAGGGGAGATGGAGGTGAGTGCGGTCAATGGGTTTAAGGTGGGGGGTTGTGGGGAATTGAAGGAGAGGGTGATGGGGTGGATATAGAGAGAGACAGAGATGAATGGAGGAGCAGGAGGCGGTTGGTGGGGGGGAGAATGGTGAGTAAGTGAGGACCAGATGGCCTACATTCGGTGCTGGCGATTCTCACAGTCTTGCCCACCCCAGGGGGTAAATGGGGAGGGTCCTTATTGCATTTATCACCCGTCCCTAGTTGCCCCTCACTCAGGCCCATTCAGAAAATCAACCACAGGTCTGGAGTCACATGTAGGCCAGAGCTGGGTAAAGATGGTAGATTTCATCCCCTAAAAGGGGCATTAATGACCCAGATGGGGTTTATTTTTATTTTTACAAACTTGTTATTCCAGAACGTTACCATATTTAAATTCTACCAGTCACCCTGGTGGGATTTGACCTTGTGTCTGCAGAACGTAACCAGGCCCTCAGGATGACTAGGCCAGAGACCTGAGCACAGCCCCCTCTAAATCCACTCCTGACTAACTGAAACTTCTCGCTACTCGTCATCGCTTCCGTTTTGACATTTCAACTGTGCTGTTAAAATATACATTCTGCAAAATGAGAGAGGGTTCATTTCACCACACCTCAAGGCCTGTGCCAATATCCCAAACATTATCAATTTCTTTCAAAAGGGGTAATGAGTAGAAAACACAAATATTCACGGTTGAAAGGAGTGGGATTAGACTGGGTGGTATATTAAAGGGTGTGGGGAGTGAGGGGGAGAGTGGGTGGGATATTAAAGGGAGCGGGGAGTGAGGGGGAGAGTGGGATTAGACTGGGTGGGATATTAAAGGGAGCGGGGAGTGAGGGGGAGAGTGGGATTAGACTGGGTGGGATATTAAAGGGAACGGGGAGAGAGGGGGAGAGTGGAATTAGACTGGGTAGGATATTAAAGGGAGCGGGGAAGGGCAAGTGTGAGGGTAAGAGTGAGTGAGTGTGAGTGTGAGGGTGAGGGCATAAGAGTATAATGGAGTGAGTGAGAATGAGAGAGTGAGTGAGGGTGAGTATGATGGAGTGGGTGAGGGTGAGTGAGTGAATTTGAGGGTGAGGGAGCGGGTGAGTGAGGGTGAGGGGGTGAGTGTCGGTGAAGGAGTGAGTGAGAGTGAGGAAGGGAGAGAGAGAGGGATTGAGGGAGAGGGATTGGGGGAGAGGTTGAGGGCAAGGGCAAGTGTGAGGGTGAGGGAGTGGGCGAGGGCGAGTGTGTGGGTGAGGGTGAGAGAGTGGGCAAGGGCAAGTGTGTGGGTGAGGGAGAGGGTGAGGGAGTAGGCGAGGGCGAGGGTCTACCTACCTGAACTGCGCAGCCCAGGAGCAGCATCAGCACTTTTTCCAACTCTCGCATCGCCTGATCTGAAACACAGAAAAAATATCTCCATGGACCAGGCACAGAGTGAGAGGGTGGGGGTAGGATGGAGGGGAGAGAGTGAGAGGGGGGTGGGGATGGGATGGAGAGAGAGAAAGAGAGAGGTGTGGGGGTGACACAGGGAGAGAGACAGAGCAGGAGGGAGGGAATGTTGGGGGTGACAGAGAAGGCGATGCAGAGAGAGGGAGGGGGAGAGATAGAGACAGACAAACACAGAGAGAGATTGAGAGAGAGTGACAGAGACAGAGAGAAAAAGAGAGACCTGGAAGAGAGAGATGGGGAGAGAAAGAAAGTGAGGGGAAAAGACAGAGAGAGAGAGAGAGAAGGATAGAGAGACAGAGAGAGGAGACAGAAGAGAGTGAGAGAGACACACAGAGAGAGATGCAGAGAGACAGAGAGAAGGATAGAGAGACAGACAGGGAAAGAGAGGTGCAGAGAGACAGAGAGAGAGACACAGGGAGAGGAAGACAGAGGGAGAGAGAGAGGGTCGTGGGGAAAGGAAGATAGAGAAACAGAGATACAGGGAGAGGAAGAAAGGCGGGGGTGGTTGCAGAGAGAGACAAGGAGAGAGTGGGTTGCAGAGAGAGAGGGGGTTGCAGAGAGAGACAGGGAGACGGGGAGTGCAGAGAGAGACAGGGAGAGGGTGGGTTGCAGACAGAGACAGGGAGACAGGGTGGGTTGCAGAGAGAGACAGGGAGGGAGGGGGGTGCAGAGAGAGACAGGGAGGGAGGGGGGGGCACA